ACTGCTTCATTTCAGCTGACTGATGCTGTTTTCAAAAAACACACACTGAAATGCAAAAGCTCCAAAATAAACCTGCTTATGGGTTCGATGCAACAAAAAGAAAATATCTGATGGTGCTGAGTTGCTAATGTATGCAGCAGCTTTCCTCTGCTGCTCTAAACAGAGTCATTGAGTGGTTGCTGCGCAAAGTCATTTGCTTCGCCTCGATGAGAACTGGGGATCCCGTGATGAATGACACTCTATGCTTAATGATGCAACGCAGATAGAAAATATATAGTCATTGAAAATAATGATTAGACCACCCCTGCTTTCCTCTTTTGCTTCATTGCATGCTTCAGAAAACATGTTAGATCAACAAATGGAAGAAAACACAGGAGGTCCAATAGTTTTTTTCATGAATGTATATTAAAAGCATCGCTTGGTTTGTGAGATTAAACTCAAAGTGAGTTTTTTTTTTAATGAATGCCATTCATATTTTTCACTTTACAATCATAGACTTTAATTTCTTTTTTAATTTTCAGTGAGAAACTAACACAAGGCTGCTTATAAAATTTACTTTTTTTTTTCTTAAATGTAAAATGTTGTGTTGGAGAAACCAAAACCAATCCCTACAGTGAAACACGGTGGTGGCAGCATCCTAATGTGGTTGATGCTCTTCTTTAGAAGCAACAGGAAACCTGGAGTCAGAGCTGGCTGAATGCATAAGTAACTGACTGACTGACTAGAGCCCAAATGCAACTAGAGCCCCTTTAAATAAAATATATATTTTTGCATGTGTAGGCCTAAGGATTTTTTCATACATACAGTAGAAAAAAGTAAACTTTCAAAATAATTTGGGGCCATTTTGACAGATGAGGAATAACCAGAGAAAACTTCTCAGAGACAAACTTTAGATTTAGTCATCCGTTTTTCAACATTTTCATTTAGGAGTTCCATTTATAAAATATACGTCAATTTTTTGTCGTCGTTTTTTTGCTACAGGCTATTCTTGCACATTGTTGTTTCAGTTGGATCAAAAAGTAAAAACCACTGGACATGCTTTAAATATCTGCATGCTAGTTTATTTCATAACTGGTAGTTTAGGGGCTAGACAATAATTCAATATCAATATACAGTATATTATGATACAGTTTTATTCAATAATAGTGATGAAATTTAAAAACATTTTCAGTATTTTGATATACGCTGCTGTCTGTGGTTACAGTGTTTGTCATTGACTGAAGTTCCTGGGAGCAGGAGATTCGAGCCAAATGGAAAGAGTCCCAGCACAGTGGCTCCATGAGCGAGCACAGACAGGGAGCCTGTGCTCTGCAGGTGCAATGCTGTGCTGCCCAGATGCTAAACTTGAAGCTTTAGCTGCAAAATGAACGCCAGTTATAATATGACCAAATGCCCCATTTTGAATGAGCTGCATCCGGCAGACGCTCAGATGTCTCAGACTTTAGCATATGATGAATGAGAAAAAGATTGTTGCATGCAGACTGTGTAGTGCAGCTCTTTATTAAAAAATAAATAAATAAAAACAAAAAGCTTGCGTCCTGTGACATCAGATCCAGAAATACTTTAATAATCCTAGAGGGAAAATCATGGGATGTGCGAATTGATCAGTTTTATTTTGACTGTCTTTATTCTTCTGAGCATAAAGATGTGGGTCAAATGTTATTGCTTACTGTGTCCAGGATAAAAAAAAAAGTTAGGATCTGTTTCATTTTTTCTAAGATTGAGAAGTAGAATATAAACCAAGCTTTTATTAAAAAAAAAAAGTAATAAAACTGAACACCATAAATCAAGATTAGAGACTGCGAGGGGGAGAAATCCTAACAGGAAGATAAATAAAACTTATTGCTGCCCACAGTGTTAATGGGGTTTTGTTAAAAGATTGATTTTTGTAAAATAATTGGAGATTTTTTCTGTATTTTAAGAGCCAGTTGTAGTTATAGTCTCTGTAAAGTCCCTTGAGATTAGATGTGCTGTGAATTGGTGCTATAGAAATAAACGGAACTGAATTTGTCTTGCTAATTTATTTATAGTGATTTTTCATTTTCACGTTTTTATCCTTGATTATGACAGCCAACCACGTAAACATTTAAGGAGGTGATGACAAAAAAAAAAAAGGAAAAAAAAGTGAGAAGCCATTAACAGAGGAATATGGTTATTGAGCATGTAGCAACAAAATGTAGCAACAAAAATAAAAAACAAAAAAAGTAAACCTGTAGATGTTTTTTTTTCTGACGATAATTTATAAAATGTTACATTGGAGGCATTTCATGGACAATGCATAATCACTTTCATAAGTTTATACAGGGTCTGTTGTAGGATTTCCTGGCAGTCTAGAGGCTTTATTTTGTTTATATAAACATCAGAATTATATCTTATGAACTAAAACTGACATAAGTTTCGGCCAAATTACCCAGCACCCCCAGAGCTGCACTAAGGTTATAGTAGGTATGGGAATGATCTGATTAAAATGATTATTCATTGCATGAATTGATACTGATAGAAATAGGGGCACCAAAATCTAATCTTGCCTTGGGTGGCCCTGGCTGGAATTAAATATCCAATAAAATTTTACTTGTTAAAGTCGTAGGGAAG